ACAATGGTAATTTGATTCACATGCTCTGGGACTTGCCCTTGGGCAAGGGAATGCCAGGACGCAGCGGTAGAACAGAACAAGTTCTTGGAAATGACACGTAAATGATCCCCAATTGCGGTGATGAGAGGAGTTTAATGAACTGCATGGCATAGAAAGCCATCACAGGGAGTGGTAAATGGTGTTGAGTTTAATGGTAGTGAAAGGAAAGTTGCCAGTTCCTTAGAGAGGGAAGCTATGTGGGTATTTTTCAGTTATAGATTGATGCAGAAGGAAGGAAAGTTAGAAAACAGGGAGAAAGTGGAGTCCATCTTAAAGGGAAATATCCTGCCGCATCTTAATTTTACCAAGACATTCAGTGTAAGATAAATCATAGGCTAAAACAAATGTAAATTCATGAATCCTCCCATTAAGGCTCAGTTATAAGGTTGAGGTGGTATAAAAGGGACCTTAAGAAAAATAACAATCACAGTGAATACCCAACACTTTTATAGTACTTTTTATCAGTAAATCTTGAAGGAGGCCAATGTTATCAACAGGGCTCCTGGGTTTCTCTGATTTTAAAAAATCCCCAATTTTCAGTTTAAAAAAACCCCAAAACCCACATTTTTCCCTGATTAAAATGAAACACCACTATCTCTATATCTAACTGGTGTTTCATTTTAATCGTGGAAAAATGAAGATTTTGGGTGGGTTTGGTTTTTTTGTAAAGCAAAAATTGGTGATTTTTTTTTTTAATCAGAGAAATATAGGATCCCTGGTTATCAATCAAATTTTATAAATGAGGCATCTGAAGCATGGGGAAGTGAAGTGACTTGGCGAAGGTCACCCAGAAGGCCAATCACCTGCAGGAAATAGAAACCAGGTGCCCCAAGTTTCCATCCGGTGCACTCTTTGCTATTCACTCGTGCCAATTAAAAGCAGGCTCCGGGCCTTTGAAGGAATATGTTAGGGACAGGACTGACCCAATCACATATATTAACTTTTATAAGAACTACAACTTAACTGGTGAGGGGCATGGAGATGGTCCTTCTCTTACATCCACTCAGAAACCAAGCCCTGCCCGCTGGAAATGCCAGCATGAGAAGTTGTTCTCAATACATTGTGCAAATGTTTGCTATACAATCACACGTGCTTTGTTGTGTTCTTTGGCTTCTCCTCAGCAGGTTTTGTGTGGACCCACAGCTCTTCAGAGACCAAAACAGGCATGAAGGACGCAACTGGAGCCCTGAGAGGAACAATGAAGAATCTGTACTTGCCTTCCCAGAAGAAAAACTTCTAAAAAGAGGGGGAAAAACATCATAAAAATAAATTATTTCTCTGAGGTTTCCCATTGGACAATATAATTGTGCCACTGGCCCAGACTCTGGCAGGAATTTATGACATAAGTCTCTTTTTAATCAGAATTTGCATGTTTGATTTCTCCAGTGTGTGATTCAGCAAAGCCCAGCCTACAGGATGAAGTGCATGGAAAGTCCTAGACATGGCAGCTCTGATCCATGTAGTCCATCACTTGAGCAAGAATGGTTCCCCAGAGAAGTCACTCCCCTGCACTGGAGTGAATGCTTTGAAAAGACTGCTTTTAGTCATGCCTGGTACACCCACCATTTTGAATGAGAAGAGCAAGTAGGAGTCAGAATCCTGCCTAATGCTCTCTGGGGTTCACAGATTAGGCAGCTCAATGCCTAAATCGCACGAGAGGCCTGACACTTGGAGTATATCCCAGCAGACAGTGTGCTTCCCTAGGAAGTCAGAGATCCAGGTTCTAGGTCCTCTTCAGCCTGTGGGGTTTAAACCTACCTGTCCCACTTCCCCAGCAAGTGCACTAACCACCAACCTATGGACTGAGCAAGGTTGAGGGACCCCTTCACCCTTCCTCTTGAAGCTGGTCCCTCAGGCAGCCAAAAGGGGCGAGAAGGAGAGCAAGGCAGAGCCTGGCTCCATCGCATAGCTATGAGAACGCTTTTCTGGAAGAAACTGTGGATTATGGCCTTGGAAGTGCTTCTGCTTCTGCCCCTGAGTGTGATTTTTCAAGGCACTCAACTGCCATGAACTTCCAACATGCTTTGCACGCCCAAGTGCTTTAGGCCTTTGAAGACTTTCCCTTATGTCTTGCAGACTAAGGTAGACAATTGTTCCCTGGGTTCTGACTTAGTGTACATTCCTGATACATGGGTTCACAGTAGGGACCATCCCTCATAAATATTTGGAAGCCAGCTAATACATAGCTAAGCTGTCCTCCATGGAGGACAGAAAAAGGAGCAATGGTCTAGAGTTGCAGCAAGGGAATTTTAGGTTGGATATTAGGAAAAACCTTCTCACTAGGAGGGTGGTAAAGCACTGGAATGGGTTACCTAGAAAGATGGTGGACTCTCCATGCTTGGAGGTTTTTAAGACCTGGCTAGACAAAGCCTTGTCTTGCATAATCCAGCTGGGGCTGGTCCTGCTTGGAGAAGGGGGTTGGACTAGATGTGACCTCCTGAGGTCCCTTCCCACCCTAATTTTCTCTGATTCTATAATGGATGCAAATAACAAATGCATAATCATTGTCATCATCATTTTGTACAATGCAAGTATGTTCTTCTCAGGGTGAGTCCTGAAATCTGTTTTCTCTCAGTGACTTTTGCATGTTTAATATTCAGCTCTGGTTGAAATAAATACATGTTCCCACATTTCCATCAGCCATTCATGAGATGACTTTCATGTTGTGGAGGGACAGGGGTCATTTTTTGGGACACACCAGATTGTACTGTGTAACAAGCATTTGACAGTGGAATGTCGATGGCACACATGAAAAAATTGCTTAAGATGATGCAGTCAGCTGCCCTAGGAAATTCTTTTGTACATATACTTTCCTAGGTGAGGAAAATTTTAAGTGCTTACTAAAAGCATCTGAAGGAGCCACTGAGTGATATTTTCTAAGGTAATTGTATTACCCTCATTGTTGTAACATGAGGGAAACAAAGGGTCTTGAGTGACTGAAAGAGATTGGCTTGTTTTGCCTACCAAATGAAGGGCAAAAAGGATAGGATTGCTCTCAATATACGTATCGAGAGGAAAAAGAGTTGTTCAGTCTAGAGACCACATTGGTTCAAGAACAGTTGGGTATCGAGTATAATTAAGTTCAGGCTAGAAGTGAGAAGAACATTCCTCATAATCAGAGAAATGATGTTCTGGACAACAGGAAGTGAGGCAAGAAAGCAAACAGTTTTTAAAACTAAGCTTGGTCAGTTCAAGAGTAGGATCGCACGATTCCTTACAGTAGTCAGTAGACTTGGCTTCATCACCAGTCGGCTCCTTCCATGTGCTACGCAACTCGTTCATCATCCCAACACCTTAGGGTTGCTATCATCCACCTTTACAGATGAGAAGCTGAGTCACAGAAGGATGAAAGCCCTGGTTGCCAAAGAGGTTGAGACACCTAAGTCCCTACAGCCCTGTCTAGATGGATTTCACGGCATTCGCATGAGCACTCATCTATTCCCGGTCCCCACGTGCCAAACAGAAGTGAGGCAGCGAGACCATCCCTTACCACCAGTCTCAGGATCTGTCACTGGTGCACTTGTGGGAGTAAGGGAAGGCCAGGGCACCTCTACTGCCTTATTTCTGGGTTTGGCCCATGCAGAGAAGACCTGAAGATGTAGCACAGACATGTCCATGGTCAGGTAGAGTCTTTTCTTTTTTGGGTCGAGCAGAGACTTGAACTCAGCTCTTTTCTCTTCCAGGCTAGGCCAACCACCCTCTCACCGAGCTTCTTCTCCAATTTACCAGTGTAAGGAATATCCTTACACCCATCCTGCCTATAGACTGATCAATTTACAAGCTGTCCAAATCACAAGCTGTCCATTTTGTGCAGTAGTTACCTGTCCACTAGGGGCTGGGTTATAAAACATGGTTATAGGGAGGAGGACATTTTAAGACTTTTATTGTCCTGGATTGAAAGCACGAGCAATTCCAAGTCTTCACCTGAGACACGTAGCAAAGCAAAGGAAGGTGTTTCTCTTTGGAGATCTGTTTTATTATGAGCAGTCTTCCAGCCAAGTATAATTTTCAAGGTCCGTTAACAACTGAATAATTGGGACACAATAGATTGAATGGCTCATCCTTTAGAGAATCTAGTAGTGAGGAAAGCCTAGCCATGAATAATTGCAAAGCAGAACCAGCTACCCTCTCTTCCAGTTGATTTCCTTGGGCCAGTTCCCTAAGCAACTGGCACCGGATGCCAATGCTTTGGCTTTCAAGTCATTATTCAGTTGTTAACAGTAGGCAAGAGACACATTAGCCCTGTCTACACAGTAAAACTACCATCCCTGGCAGCTGTGCTCTCAGGCACATTATACTGCTCCTGATGGGGTGCTGCTTAAATGGAGAGCAGGATAATCACATCTAAATGGCTCTTGAGAGGGGCTCACCCGTGCTGCTGAGTGACAATCATCCTGCCACGCGCTGGTGAGCTCCCTGTGGCATCAGGCTGAACAAAATAACATTGACAAATTATAGTGTGAAGTGAAAAGGACTCTGTTCATAGAATTATAGTGTCATAGAAAATTGAGGTTGGGAGGGAGCTCCGGAGGTCACATCTAGTGCAACCCCTGCTCCAAGCAGGACCAGCCCCAACTACATCATCCCAGCCAAGGCTTTGTATGCTGGGTCTTAAAAAGTCTCCAAAGATGGAGACTCCACCACCTCTCTGGGTAACTTGTTCCTGTGCTTTCCTGCCCTGCTAGTGAGAAAGTTTTTCCTAATATCCAACCTAATCTTCCCTTGCTGCAACTTGAGACCATTGCTCCTTGTTCTCTCATCTGCCCCCACTGAGAACAGTTGAGTTACACTGGTGGCACTGGATTTGGACCCAGCCCCTATACCTTTGTTCCAGGTGAGCACAACCGTCAGACCGACCACACCTGCCCCTTGATAGGAGGCGAGTTTATTGATCCAGAGTGATAACAAAAAAGCAACAATACAAGCAATCAGGCAACTCTATATCTACCAGTCCTAGGGTTGTCGTCAAAGTCAAAGTACATCTGATCAGGATGCAAGCTTCACTTCTGAGGCTCTCTCTCTTCGGTGTCAGCAGTCTGGAGGTGGGATGCTGAGGCCCACAGTCCCCCTCCAGTGGGGTGCATGAGATGGGCTGGTCATATGCCCTTGGTCCATGGTGGCCTCAGGGACCCGGGGGATGGGGATAGGGACCCCTCTGAGGGAGAAGGAGGAATGGGAGAGACTCTGTTAATCTGAAGTCTCTGCTATTATATTCTCCTTCCCCCTTGATGACTCCTGATGACTTCATGGCTATCTCTGGTTGGCTGTCTCCCTGTGGGCACACTCCCACGTAGCCTTCCAGGCCTTCTCCTAATTTGGTCGGCTCCCCCAAAACTGGGACTTAGGCCCCGCTCTGCTCTGGGGCCTTGTAGCTGTTGCCACTTATCCCATGTTACAAGCAGTATGGTACATACTTCCTTGGTTCCCAGGCTGTTTTCTAGGCTGTGCGCCCTTGTTGTGTTACACAACCTATCTGACTTGAAGGCAGTGATCTCGTGTTACGGCATGCACCCCCTCCCCCCCAATTCTCAGACTGTGTCCATCCATTGGCCTTGTTGTGCTAGACAGCCTGTCTGCTTCCAAGGCTGGGATAAACATTGTGTGGTAGACTCAATCTCTTAGAAATCCAATTAACCTCTGCTACCCATCTTGAACCCTTATAATGCATATATCTATACCTATAAGCCAATTCCCCTAAAAAAAAACAGACCTTTAAATGCCATTTCTAAGCCAACAACACCAGGCCAGAATCTGGCCTCAAGTTCCTTCAAATCTTCAGCAGTTAGTTCACTCAGTATAGTCCAAGCATATCAAGCCTGCAGCCCTGGATGCACCACAACAGGGCAGTATGGATTCCTATTTGACATCTCTGGGTTTATCTTGAGAAACATGTTTGCACATCTACCATTGCTAATATAGTGTGGCACCCCACCGCACCCTTGAAAGGATCTCAAGGCACCCCAGGGTGCTATGGCACCCTAAGGGAGAATTCCTCATATAACCTGAGCCAGTGGATGTGTTCTTCTCTCCTGCCAAATAGGCTGGAGTGGAAGGGGAGCAGTGGGATACTTTACCACAAAGGAGCTCTGAGTGTGAAGCTCACAGGAAAAGAGTCCACTGATTCTACGGCACAGACAAAGCTGGCTGGTTTAGCTGCCAGCAAAGTACTTCCCATGAGCATTGACGTGATGATCATTAGACATCAACTTCATTTGGGCCGGACGCATTATGGATGTCTAATCCCAACTCTCAAAGCAAATTTTGTTCTCCCAGTTCAGTCAAGGCACACACTCTATAGAAGGGCAGAGGATGCACTTCAAGGAAGTCCTCAAGGCCAATTTCAAAAAATGAAACATCACTATCAACTCTTGGGAGATTGTTGCCCAGGACTGCCCCAAACAGAGGAAGACTCTGCTGCAAGAAATCTTACAATTACAACAGAAGATGGAAACGGGAGAGCAGCAGGAGCAGCATGTCACAGACCAAACCAAGAACCACCCACCCTGCACAGAAACACGTGCCCAAGCTGCAGCAGAATCTGTCGATCCTAGATAGGCCTCATCAACCATCTTCGGTCCCATGGATAAGACAGTCGTGGAAGATAATCGTCCTCGACTGCAAGGGATTGCTGCTGCTGCTGATGATGAATGATGCACTAGGAGCTAACACAGGCGCACACACTGAGTACACAGAGCTCCAGAACAAAGCAATAGGCCTGCTTAATTCATTTAAAGTTGTGCTTTTATCATGGACATTGATAGGATCAGGCAAATGGCTTATTTTTCTGCATGATTTAAGTGTTTGCCTGCATTACTGCTGAGTGTCTTACGGGGTTTAGTCTGTACATCAGTGTCAAGGTGATTTTGTCACCGGGGGGATGGTTAAAGCATTTAAACATAAGCTTGTAGGTTCTATCCCTTCCCCCTATTCTTTTGTTTTGTTTTGTCTATTTAGACTGCAAGTTTTTTGGGGAGGCACCAGCCCATATTCTGTATTTTCTTCCAGGTGCCACCATAATAAATATAATTAATATTTTTTTTCTTCAAAAAGAAGTGCAAGGGATAGCTCCATCACACAGTGCATGCATCTACATGTGCTATTAATGTGTCTAAATAAACTCCAGTATAGTCTGTGTCTGAGTTTATTGCTCCCAGGTGTAGCATTTACACATGCACCTGAGACAGCAGCACATGGAGCCAGGGCAGTGCAACCCAGCTCTCACAGGGCTGGGGGCGGGGGGAAGGGGAGGGGAGAGGGGTCAGCCTGCCAACCCAGAGGTACTCTGCCCCAGTTCAGCATGCTGCGGAGGGGCTGAATGGGGCACAAGGGATCTACAGTGTGGGGCTAACCGGTAGGCAGCCCCTGCATTGGAGCACCCTCATGCCCCAGCCATCCCTGGTCACTGTCTACACATGTGTTTTGGCACATTTAATACTCCACCATAGGATAGTACTTCTGTTGGGCAGTACTATCCTCCAATGGAATTCATTAGTTTACTTTGGACTAATAGTCCCGCACCTATAGACGGTGATGCTTTACTGCGGAGCAAATTAATCATCTCCACAGTAAAGTGAACATGTAGATGCCCCCTCTAAGTATCAGCTTGGAGAAAGGCTTGACTGACAGTCCCTCTTTCATTTATGTATAGTGGTGGAAGCAGAGGTGAGATCAGTTCAGAGACAAAATGAAGCAGAAATGAGTAACCAAGGAGAATTAACCACTGAAAGAATTACCCTCCGCACGTGGTGGGCTCTTTCCCATGTGAAGTCTCTTTGTCAACATGGACTGTCCTTCAAAAGAGATACTGGAGCTGTCTTTAAAAAAAGATACCAGAGCTTAAACAAGTTAGGGACTTGTTATAGGAATCACTGAGTGATATGCTTTGGCCTGGACTATGCAGGAGTTCGGTGTGGATGACCACAACTCTTCACAATCCCTGAATCTAAATAAAAGTATATTCCATTCCCTTCATTTGGCCATTTCTGTATCTAAGTCTCCAAGTGCCCTGTGAGCAGGATAGTCATGTCCATCCCTGTTATAGCTACTCATGAGTTCAATTTACCTGAGTATTGGCAAGCACCCAATAAACCTCAAGTTGACTTCCATGTGCCTAACATGCAAATCAACTTGTGGACAAATTGTAGAGAGTCCAGCACAGGGCAACAAAAATGGGAACTGAGCTTATTTAGTCTTCAGAACAGATGACTGATGGAGGATTTAATAGCAGCCTTCAACTCTGATGGTGGGTTGCAAAGAGGATGGAGCTGGACTGTTCTCAGTGGGGGCAGATGACAGGAAAAGGAGCAATGGGCTCAAGTCATATTAAGGGAGGTTTAGGTTAGATATCAGAAAAAAACCTCTTTCACTATAATGGCAGTGAAGCACTGGAACAAGTTACCCAGAGAGGTGGTGGAGCCTCCATCCCTGAAGGTTTTAAGACACAGCTAGACAAAGCCTTGACTGGGATGGTCCGGTTGGGGCTGGTCCTGCGTTGAGCAAGGCGTTCGACTAGATGTGACCTCCTGAAGTCCCTTCCAACCCCAATTTTCTTTGATTCTATCATCTTATGACATCATACAACATTTTATAGCCTCCTTGTCAAAATTTGGTACAATTCTTTCATACCATTGTAGAAGAAAAGATTATCACTCAAGCCTCATACAAGATCCTGACCCAGCCTGGATACAGATTAAATTAAATCCTTCCTCAACATTTAGGGGGACACTATCTTCCTTAAGGCATTTTTTGAAGAGGATGAGCAGCTTGCACACACAAGGTTTGGATAAATGTTTATAAAAGTCAACAGGGGAAGCCTTCTAGGTCAGGCACAGTTGACTTCAAAGCATTGGCAAGGACTGATGTTGTGAATGGGACATCTAAGTGCTCCTGATAAGCCACAGAAAGTCAGGGTCCTGCTAGATTAGCAGAGAAAGGTTACCAGGATTTTGTGTGAAGGGGAAGAATCAGACTTGTATCCTCTTCTGTAACACTTAAAGAGTTGTTTGTTGATGTCTCTGGGTGTGGTGCATGATATATTATATTTTCTTGGACAGCCATGAAAGCCTCACCAGCTGCTTCTTGCTAAAGACCTTATGCTAGAAATCTGGTCGACTCCTCCCAAGACTCCCAGAAGGCTCGTTTTAACAGAACGAGTCCAAACTTGGCTTGAATCTTGTTCAGCTTATTGTACTGGTACCTGCTTCTGGTCAGGCGGCTTAAGGGTTTGGGGACAGAGCTTTTGGCTTGTTCTTAGGTTGATACTCTGACTTTTCTCTTTTTCACTTGCTTTCTCTCTTTTTGGCCATAACTGAACTGCTAACTCTGCTTCCAAGTTGCTTCTATGAAAGGGTTTTAACAGTTCCCAAAGTAATTTGCTAGAGGATTTTGAAGTGCCTCAGAAGTGAATTTAAGCAAAATTATGAATTATTTTATTTAACTATGAATTATAGTTATAAGCAAAACAAAATGTTGGGGGGCAAAAGGTATGCTTTCTGGGTTGGAGAGGGGCTCACTATAACTACTGAGCTCCTGGTGGGTGTCAGCACTGTTCAGAATGTGATCTGGACGTACCTATCAAATCACTCCTGATGCAGTGTCAGTGACACCGAGACAGTGATAGGAACAGGGCAGATATACAGAGCAATTTGAAGCTGGACCAAAGCAAGTAAAATCATTTTAACACAACCAAATGCAAAGGTATTCACCACCAGGTCCCCCCTCAGCCTCCTCTTGTGGAGGCCGGACAGGTTCAGGTCCCATCGCCTCTCCTTGTAGGGTCTGTCCTGCTGCCCCTGGTCATGCGGGTGGTCCTCCTCTGGACCCTCTCCATGCTGGCCACATCCCTCCTGAAGTGCAGCGCCCAGCACTGGATGTAGTACTCCAACTGCGGCCCGACCAGTGTCGCATAGAGGGGGAGGATCACCTCCTTGGACCTGCTTGAGATGCATCTGTGGACGCATGACAAGGTGCGGTTGGCCTTCCTGACCGCGTCCTCACATTGGCGGCCCATGTTCATCTTGGAGTCAATAATAACTCCAAAATCTTTTTCTGCCGCCATGCTTTCGAAAAGGGAGTTCCCCAGCCTGTAGGTATGCTGCTGGTTCCCACTGCCTAAGTGCAGCACCCTGCACTTGTCAGTATTGAATCCCATCCCAT